GGAAAGACCATTCAGTGTGGTTCATGCACTATAGCCAGCAATGAAATCGAGTGGAGCTTTCCATACTCTAACACCTCATTTCCTGGTTTGCTCTTTAAACTGCAATTTTGATGATGTACAATCTGCAGAATTAGATATTTATACTGACGGATCAAAAATTAATGACGCCGTTGGATGCAGCTTTGTAGTTTTCACAGAAAACATAGATGCATTCAGTCAATTGATACGCTTGGATAGCTTTTGTACAGTTTTCCAAGCAGAATAATTTGCTATTCTACAGGCAATTAAATGGGCAAATAATTATCATCCTAAAACAACTGTACAATTACTTACAGATTCATTATCTGCTTTTACTCTTCTTAAAAGTTCAAGACTACATCCACTTGCTGAAGAGATATGAAATTTACTACGGACTATGAGCTGTAACTTTGGAATCACATGGGTAAGGGCCCACCAAGGTGTACAAGGCAATGAGAGGGCAGATTATTTAGCAAAACAGGCTGCTGAAAACACTGCATTGCCTGTTGAATATAATAAAATTAGTCTACAAACTTTACGTCGAATATTATGGGAGGATGCTCTACATAACTGGCAGATCAAATGGGACAATAATAGTGAGCACATCACATATAAATTTATCCCCAATGTTAAAAACTTTATTGGGCTCAAATGGTATACACCAAACTTTTGTACTACTCAGCTATTATCAAATCACGGAAAGTTTGCGAGTTATCTCGCTAGGTTTACTAGCAGGAGCTCAAACCTGTGTCCTTCCATGTTCTGTGGAGGATGGTTCTACACATTACATATTTGATTGTATAATTTTTGAAAAAGAGCAATTGGAGTTAAGTCTACTGCTATGGAGTAATATGGCCATGTGAGTTATCAGACTTTTGGACTAACTATGATATTTATAATGCTTTCAAACGACTTGCCAGCAAAATTAATTTTATCACTCAACGTACAATCATTAATTAATCTAAACGATTACAGTTTAATTGTACTTGTGTATTTCTTGTATTTTTATTAAGGAGATTTGTTTATGGAATTATTTATGAATTATTTATGTTTTCTTTTTATTAAGTGATTTTAGTTATATGTTCTGGTAAATATCTTAGTACAGAATGTCATAATGATTTTCGATTAGGTGTTTTGTTGGATAGAGTGTATTAATTAATTTCTGCCATGTAGACATCCTTGATGTTCTGACAAAGAAATAGAAGTCTTTATCACATATATGATGCTTATTGCATTCAAATCAGCTATCAACCTATGCTGATGTGTTTAACCTTCGACCATCTTTGTGTGATCAACTTTTCCTCCTGTTATCAATATTTATTTGTTTGACCAACCTTATTATGTGACCAACTTTTGTGTAATCAACCTACACACTTCATCATGATCTTCTTGTTTAGCCAAAACTATGGGATTAACCTCTTAACTATGCCTTTCAAGATTGCTCAAGAATTTCAACCTACTGACATTCTTTCTTACAAACTTTGATGGTTGAAATTGACAATTGTAATATCTGCGATTACGGCCTTCAAAATTGGCTCCATCTGTGATATCAACCTACTTCAACAAGAAATGGAAATCACCTGAACTACGTGCATCTGGTGCTTTTATAGACTGAATAAGTATTTCAACCTACCTCTCTCTGATGGTTGAAATGGACTGATGCATTTAGCTATATCTGTCTAATGATAGATATGAGCTCATTGAAACTATGTGTAGTCAATGCTGAGCATCTTATTTTCCTTAACTTCATTTTGTTATTTTACATTGCGTTACTTTTTAATTTTAAGTTTGTTTAGTATCTTAAATTATTAGATTATAAATATTTGTTAATAATAGTCAATAAATATCTTCACGTGAAATACATATATTTTATTGTAAATAATATATATTTATTTTGTTATATGCAATACATACTTATGTGATACATACGGCGTTTAACTATTCTTACATGTTATTGTTAATTATCACATTTACCTTGTTATTTTAGGCATTTTTATTATTCTAATATTTGTTCGTA